CATGTTTCTTTAGACCTGTCTAAAATAAATAATGGATTTATTGTGATGTTGCAGGCTATATTACATGGATTTATTCAAACGTTTTAAATGTAGATGCTCCAAAGGTCTGCATCAGTGGCTTGTAGGCTATGCGTGGAAGCCAGGAGATGCTACATTTGTTTATGTTAATGAACGGTCAATTATCGTGAGACCTGTAGTTATTTGCTTGACAATCACCAGCTGTCAAAATGTCATGACTGTCACAGCCCTAGGTGTACCTGTGTAATGATCATGGTGGATGGATTGCCTTGGCAAAGGAGAAATGCTCACTAACAGGGATGCCAACACATTTGTGCACAAAATGAGAGAAATAAGCTTTTTGTGCGTATGGAACATTTCTGCGATCTTTTATTTCAGCTCATGAAACATGGGACCAACACTTTACATGATGCATTTATATTTTTGTTCAGTATAATTTGTAATTCATTTCTAGGCATACAAATAATAATATTTATTGATTGATACCTTTGAAACAATGTCTACCAGACTACAATAGATTGTGAAGGGAATGCAATTGAATGACTGCTGCGAGGGAGATTTGCCCAATAGGCTATCATTCATGAACTGCAGCAGCAACCCAAATACGTTCTCGAGTTCGAGTATTGAACAGAGGTGTATGTTTTGTTTCTACAAAGCTGTTTCCATCGATAATTCAATAATCAATCGACTACTTAATTCTTGCACCATGCAATCATTTATTTATCTAAGCATTTATTTTCCTTCTCTGCAGCATAATACATTTTTCTGCATGCACACGATAGACAGTTGGTGGTCGGAGAACGCCGCTGAGCCGGAGAGTCTCAAATTAATCCTGCTGTAGAATTAATTGCGACCAGCAGGTCCAAACGAATGACTAAAAGGAACGCGTCACTCAGAAAAAACATATCATGACTCTCAAATTGTTTCGCGAACTGAACATCACTGGGCAGCAGCTGCTTCACCGGACATCTGTATCACATGTCGCTAGCGCTAGCGGTAGCTGTAGCGGTAGTGGTAGCTAGCGTGGCCAGTTTGTTCCTTGATTGTATTTAGAGTAGGAGAGCATGACAAATAACATGTAATATTGGTAGTATAGTAACCATCTGGATGTCACCTCCTTCTCTGGTGATAGTCCTTTCCCTTGTCCAAAACTCCACTGTGGAATTAATGTGAACTGGCAGCCTCTGGCCGTGTAGTGTGGTTTCCTCAGCTTAAGGACAAGGCCGTGTAGTGTAGTTTCCTCAGGTTAAGGACAAGGCCGTGTAGTGTAGTTTCCTCAGCTTAAGGACAAGGCCGTGTAGTGTAGTTTCCTCAGGTTAAGGACAAGGCTGTGTAGTGTAGTTTCCTCAGGTTAAGGACAAGGCCGTGTAGTGTAGTTTCCTCAGCTTAAGGACAATGCCGTGTAGTGTAGTTTCCTCAGGTTAAGGACAAGGCCGTCTATTGTAGTTTCCTCAGCTTAAGGACAAGGCCGTGTAGTGTAGTTTCCTCAGTTTAAGGACAAGGCCGTGTAGTGTAGTTTCCTCAGGTTAAGGACAAGGCCGTGTAGTGTAGTTTCCTCAGCTTAAGGACAAGGCCGTGTAGTGTAGTTTCCTCAGCTTAAGGACAAGGCCATGTAGTGTAGTTTCCTCAGGTAAGGACAAGGCCGTGTAGTGTAGTTTCCTCAGCTTAAGGACAAGGCTGTGTAGTGTAGTTTCCTCAGGTAAGGACAAGGCCCTGTAGTGTGGTTTCCTCAGCTTAAGGACAAGGCCCTGTAGTGTAGTTTCCTCAGGTAAGGACAAGGCCGTGTAGTGTAGTTTCCTCAGCTTAAGGACAAGGCTGTGTAGTGTAGTTTCCTCAGGTAAGGACAAGGCCCTGTAGTGTGGTTTCCTCAGCTTAAGGACAAGGCCCTGTAGTGTAGTTTCCTCAGGTAAGGACAAGGCCGTGTAGTGTAGTTTCCTCAGCTTAAGGACAAGGCCGTGTAGTGTAGTTTCCTCAGGTTAAGGACAAGGCCGTGTAGTGAGTTTCCTCAGGTACAATCTTTCACTGAGCTTTCATAGTAATGAGTAGGCTGATTGGTGTGTGGTGAGGGTTAGATTGCACATTAATAAAACCCTGTCTGATTCATTTCCACTCAGTCCTTTATTGGTGGTGTAAGTGGCTCTGGATAAGAGCGTCTGCTACATGACCATGGTGGTGTTTGACCTCTGAGACCTTCAGACCAAGTCACTTTGGAAACACAGATTTAATCTCGGTGTTGAACTTAACCATCTAGTTAACATGTATTTTAACATGTAGTTTACTTGCAGAGTGTCACTTTTAATAGCGCGTTTTGGTCTAAAGTGTCTTGCGAAAGAATTCATCCCACTTGGCATTTTTCCTATTTTGTTACAACCTGGAATTTAAAATGATTTTTTGGGGATTTGTATCATTTGATTTACACAACATGCCTACCACTTTGAAGATGCTAAATATATGTTTTATTATGAAACAAACAAGAAATAAGACAAAAAAAAACAGAACTTGAGCGTGCATAACTATTCACCCCTCCAAAGTCAATACTTTGTAGAGCCACCTTTTGCAGCAATTACAGCTGCAAGTCTCTTGGGGTATGTCTCTATAAGCTTGGCACATATAGCCACTGGGATTTTTGCCCATTCTTCAAAGCAAAACTGCTCCAGCTCCTTGAAGTTGGATAGGTTCCGCTGGTGTACAGCAATCTTTAAGTCATACCACAGATTCTCAACTGGATTGAGGTCTGGGCTTTGACTAGGCCATTCCAATACATTTAAATGTTTCCCCTTAAACCACTTGAGTGCTGCTTTAGCAGTATGCTTAGGGTCATTGTCCTGCTGGAAGGTGAACCTCCGTCCCAGTCTCAAATCTCTGAAAGACTGAAACAGTTTTCCCTCAAGAATTTCCCTGCATTTAGCGCCATCCATCATTCCATCAATTCTGACCATTTTCCCAGTCCCTGCCGATGAAAAACATTCCCACGGCATGATGCTGCCACCACCCTGCTTCACTGTGGGGATGGTGTTCTCGGGGTGATGAGAGGTGTTGGGTTTGCGCCAGACATAGCGTTTTCCTTGATGGCCAAAAAGCTCAATTTTAGTCTCATCTGACCAGAGTACCTTCCTCCATATGTTTGGGGAGTCTCCCACATGCCTTTCGGCGAACACAAAACGTGTTTGCTTATTTTTTCCTTAAAGCAATGTTTTTTTTCTGGCCACTCTTCCGTAAAGCGCAGCTCTGTGGAATGTGTATGGCTTAAAGTGGTCCCATGGACAGATTCTCCAATCTCCGCAGTGGAGCTTTGCAGCTCCTTCAGGGTTATCTTTGGTCTCTTTGTTGCCTCTCTGATTAATGCCCTCCTTGCATGGTCTGTGAGTTTTGGTGGGCGGCCCTCTCTTGGCAGGTTTGTTGTGGTGCCATAATCTTTCAATTTTTTTAATAATGGATTTAATGGTGCTCCGTGGGATGTTCAAAATTTCGGATATTTTTTTATAACCCAACCCTGATCTGTACTTCTCCACAACTTTGTCCCTGACCTTTTTGGAGAGCTCCTTGGTCTTCAGGATGCCGCTTGCTTGGTGGTGCCCCGTGCTCAGTGGTGTTGCAGACTCTGGGGCCTTTCAGAACAGGTGTGTATATCTAGTCAGTGAGATATGTGACCTAGATTGCACCAGTGGACTTC